TGATCCAACTTTGATGTAATGTCCTGAAAACAAGTCAAAATGAGGCTCAGTAGTGTGTGTGGCCTCCACATGCCTGTATGACCTCCCTACAATGCCTGGGCATGCTCCTGATGAGGTGGCAGATGGTCTCCTGAGGGATCTCCTCCCTCACCTGGACTAAAGCATCCCCCAACTCCTGGACAGTCTGTGGTGCAACGTGGCGTTGGTGAATGGAACGAGACATGATGTCCCAGATGTGCTCAATTGGATTCAGGTCTGGGGAACGGGTGGGCTAGTCCATAGCATCAATGCCTTCGTCTTGCAGGAACTGCTGACACACTCCAGCCACATGAGGTATAGCATTGTCGTGCATTAGGAGGAACCCAGGGCCAACTGCACCAGCAAATGGTCTCACAAGGGGTCTGAGATCTCATCTTGGTACCTAATGGCAGTCAGGCTACCTCTGGAGAGCACATGGAGGGCTGTGCGGCCCCCTAAAGAAATGCCACCCACCCCACACCATTACTGACCCACTGCCAAACCGGTCATGCTAGAGGATGTTGCAGACAGCAGAACGTTCTCCATGGCGTCTCCAGACCCTGTCACGTCTGCCACATGTGCTCAGTGTGAACCTGCTTTCATCTGTGAAGAGCACAGGGTGCCAGTGGCGAATTTGCCAATCTTGGTGTTCTTTGGCAAATGCCAAATGTCCTGCACGGTGTTGGGCTGTAAGCACAACCCCCACCTGTGGACGTCAGGCCCTCATACCATGGAGTCTGTTTCTGACCGTTTGAGCAGCCACATGCACATTTGTGGCCCGCTGGAGGTCATTTTGCAGGGCTCTGGCAGTGCTCCTCCTGTCCCTCCTTGCACAAAGGTAGCGGTCCTGATGCTGGGTTGTTGCCCTCCTACAGCCTCCTCCACGTCTCCTGATGTACTGGCCTGTCTCCTGGTAGTGTCTCCATGCTCTGGACAGTACGCTGACAGACACAGTAAGCCTTCTTGCCACAGCTCGCATTGATGTGCCATCCTGGATGAGCTGCACTACCTGAGCCACTTGTGTGGGTTGTAGACTCCGTCTCATGCTACCACTAGAGTGACAGCACCGCCAGCATTCAAAAGTGACCAAACCATCAGCCAGAAAGCATAGGAACTGAGACGTGATCTGTGGTCACCACCTGCAGAACCACTCCTTTATTGCTAACTGCCTATGCTTTCCACCTCTTGTCTATTCCATTTGCACAACAGCATGTGAAATGGATTGTCAATCAGTGTTGCTACCTAAGTGGACAGTTTGATTTCACAGAAGTGTGATTGACTTGGAGTTACATTGTGTTGTTTAAGTGTTCCCTTTATTTTTGTGAGCAGTGTATATGCACATATACATGCATGCATGCATACACACGCACACACTACCCTGTACAAATACTCATAAGATTGCATAACCCATGGTTCAGAGCTGCTCCAGACCAATACATGAAAACAGATAGACAAAAGCCACTAAAAATATTGAACAATGACAAAAAATATGGCTAATGATATTTGAATAAGCAGATAGGGAAATTGTCACCTGCAGTTAGGAAAAAGGAATGCAGCCTCCAAAGTGTATATAAAGCAATTTCTTAAAAGGAAGCTTTATTTTTATACTGATGCAGGCACACAGGGGGGACATTTCTGCATAATTTATCATTAATCGCAGTGGAAATTATATGCACTAGGTTCCTAACCTCCCACCACCACTTCTTACTTAGTGATCAAAATTATAATGAGTATGCTGATAGAAATACATCCTTTAGAAAAACAAATAGCTAGGAAATGTGAATTTGTCACACTAGAATTGTGGTACGGAATGATTGTACAAGTAAGCAGAAGTGTTGGTTTTCATTAAGTATCCTGGGATTTTTTTTTGTTTTGGAAGAACCAAATTAATTGATGGTGAGGCATAAATACATTTAGGAGAATAGAAGAGACTTGGGGCATAGGCAGCAGAAGTCTCCACAGTAACCAAATCTTTAATGTATTTCTGACCATCCATTTTTCAGTTACAAAAATTATTGTCTGGTCTATGTTGTATAAAATACTGCTTTATAAAGCCTTAGTTGGGCCACACCTGGAATACTACATCCAGTTTAGGTCACCACATTACAAAACATTTTGCTGCATGATTATTCCCATATTAACTTAGATGGGCAGTTAATTTAAGTGAGCAATTACTGGTAAAGAATTACTCTCAGGATCCCTGTAACCAGACCCAACAATGGATCATGTTTTCCTCGTTACTGCTTCACCTACTAATCCAATAAAATCAGAATAGAGCTGGAAGGGGCCTTGGAGGTTGTCTAGTCCAGCCCCCTACCCAAGCAGGAGATCATATACCATTTCAGAGAAGTGACTGTCCAGTCTCTCTTCTTTAAAACCTCCAGTGATGAAGCACCCACAACCTCTGAAAGCAAGCTGTTCCATTGATTAATTGTTCTTACTATTAGGAAGTTTCTCAATGTTTATACTGGTCCTTGAGTGTGAATAAGGGTGAACAAGAAGAGAGGAGTTCCATTAATTAGTGGAACAACTTGCCTACAGAAGTTGTGAATGCTCCAACACTGGAAGTGTTTTTTAAAAAAAAAGATTGGACCACCACTTGTCTGAAATGGAATAAGGTTTCCTGCCTGAGCAAGGGAGTGGACTAGAACAGGGATCGCCAACCTTTTGGACCTCAGGGACCACCAAACTCATAATTTTAAATCCTGCAGACCAGAAACCCTGGGAAAATCCCCCCAAAAAACTGCAGGAAAACTCCCCACCCCATTTTCCTATCGATCAATCATTCTTTATTTGGGATCAATCTCCAGCTCTGTTCTCAGGGAGGGGGGAGAGAGAGAGACTTTTGGCTTCATGCAAGGAAAGCAGCAGAAGTCTTTCTTTCTCTCCCCCAAATTCCACCAGAAATGAGTCTTTGCCAGTGCAGCCTCTTGGATCAGGATGTCTTGCAGGGTCTCAGAAGAAAGAAGCGGAAAGAAGCAGCCCGGTGGCAAGGCCAGTCACGTGGGGCAAGTTGCCCCCTTCTGCCCTTCCCCTCTCCCCTCAACTACCTCGTGTTGTTCGTGTTGTTTGCAATGCAAGTAACACAAGCTTTGTGTTCCCCTGGGCCCTGTGGGCAGCGCAGCCCTGTGTTCCCATGCAGGCTGGATTAATTGCTTTGGGGGTGACATTTCTCTGCGGACCACCAAAATTTTCTCGTGGACCACCAGTGGTCTCCGGCCCACTGGTTGGCGACCACTGGGCTAGAAGACCTCCAAGGTCCCTTCCAACGCTTCCATTCTGTCAGCTTCTGGTGAGGACATCTGTGCAAGTGTGCTGGGTGACTTCTCACAAGCAACCCCCTCAGCAACTCAACTGGAGTGGGATTCCTTTCCCCACCAGACCCTCCACGTATTTGCCTGGTTGTAAAATGGGGCCACAGTGACTGCAAAGCATAGCAGCCAGCCAGGTACTATCAATGGGGTTGCCGGTTGAGGAAATTGTGTCATCTTTCCTGAGTTGGGAAAAAGCAGGGCTGAGGGAAGGCGGGGGGAGGGGAAGGGCGACTTAACCCCAAAGCGGAATTCAAACGTTTCTCGCCTCTTCTCAGCCTGAGGCTTGATGGGGTAGGAGAAGGGGTTGTTTTTACCCCCGCCGGGAGGAATCGCTTCACTTCACACTTCACATTTTCAGCCAGAAGCTGAGCTTGCGGTCTCTTTGCAGGTAAAGTCCCTCTCCGTTGACAGGGCCCTATCCACCTTCTTCGGCCGCCTGGAAGGCAGGGTAGCCTTTAAAAAAAAAAAAAAAATCTGCGTGCCTATGGGGAGAGCGGACTTCTCGCCCCCCGCTTCTCCGCTCACCTCTCTGGAAGTTTATCTTACCCTCCCCACCCCCCCACCCCCCTCCGTCCTTTTCAGCTCTCGGACCCTGGAGGGAAGTTCTAGTCGGATGCAGGTTGGGACTCCGGGATGTCGGTCTGTGAGCGTCGACCTGGCAGTAAATCTCTCTTAAATCCACTTCGGGCGCAGGGTTGGGGTTGGCTGTTAGAGGTGTTAAAGGGAGCCGGTCCGCCCTAAAGTGTCGAAGAGCCTTCGAAGTGGGTGCGCCAAAAGAGCCCGGTGGGATCTGGATTCTTCCTAAACCCCGGGGGGGAGGGGTGCTTTTTTTTTTTTTTTTTTTTCTCCTTCCCCTCGGGGATCGCCCTCCGAATCAATGAAAGCTCCAGACCCCGGAGCTTCCTGCATTGAGTTTGTGAAGCCCCTTGCCAAGCGGATCAAGGGCAGAGCCGCTCCGGTCGCTGCCTCTGCTGTGGCTTTCCGCTTCAGCCGGGGTTGCGCCCATGCAGGGAAAGGACGGAACGCCCGAAGGGGCTGAGATGGGACCGTTGCACCCAGAAATAGCGGCGCTAATCGCGAAGGGTGGGGAAATTTTTTTTTAACGGATGGCGCTCCATTTGCCGAACTTCAACAGTGTCGCATATTAATCTTGCAAAGCGGCAGCTCGGTCGGTACTCCTGATCGCAGTAAAGGAGTCTTGTGGCCGCGAGTCCCACTGTATAACCTCAGCAGGATGCGCGCACGAGATTATACTTGCTTTCAATTTCTTGCGTTCAATTTCTGTGGTCACATTAGCAATGGGTAGGAAGCCTCTCTCTCTCTCTCTCTCTCTCTCTGTGTGTGTGTGTGTGTGTGTGTGTGTGAGAGAGAGAGAGAGAGAGAGAGAGAGAGAGAGGAGGAGGAGGAGGAGGAGAAGGTATATTATTCGTTTTCTTCGTTTCCACCCCTGGCTTTCGAAACCTCAAAAAAAAAAAAAAAAAAGCGGCAGCCGCGGTCTCTTTAAATCTTTGGCTTGTTTTTTGGCGTTCGTGCTCGCCTCCCCCCCCCAGCCCCCACCTCTCCTTTCGCTGCTGCTTTTCAGTCCCTGCGTGAGCAAAAGGGCTTCCTCTGCAGCGAAGGAAGGAAAATGCTTGTCGGCCGGAGGAGGAGGAGGAGAGGAGGAGGAGGAGAGCAGCAGCAGCAGCAGCAGCAGCTTCCCTGGGCAGCGCTCGGCGATCAGCGACTGGCAGGGACCTTCCATTTGCAACAAGCGGATAGCGGCGATGGGGCAGGGCGACGGCAGCCGTCCGCTGCATTGAGCGCCCGACGTTGGTGCCGTCCGGGTTAGCCAGCCTTGCCCTCTTTTCAGCCCGAAAAGGCTGCCGGACACTTTGGGGGGAGAGAGGGATCGCTGCCCCGCCTGCGTTCTCCCCCGGCGCAACTTTGCGGAGCGGATTCTTCCCCCGCCCCTTTCCGATCCATCCATGCCCCGACCTGAACTTTAGCTGCCCGGGGGCTCCGCGGAGGGAGCCACCCAAAAGCTCGGAAGCCGCCAATATGATTTGAAAGCCCGGGGGGCGGGAGCCGAAAAGGGGGAGAGCGCGACTGCTGAGGTGGGGGGAGACTTCGGAAGATGAGCCACGCAGGTAAGGAGGCTCCGTAGCCGGGAGCCAGGAAAGCCCAGGACTTGAGAAGGGCGCGAGCGTTGGGGGGGGGGGGGGGGGGGGGGGGGGGGGGGGG